TGGGGGGAAATATGATTTCACTGTATTTAAATTAATATTATAGAAAAAATGTGTACACATAGTTGAAAAAATTAACTTGCTTTATCACTTTCAAACTATAATTTAAAAAGAAAAAAAGGTCTTTCATCAATGAATTTGTTTTTTAACCAAAAAAATATGAAACTGGTCATACCACACAGTTTCTATCTGCATGCCAGAACTCTACTTAGTGCTGCCAACACGCAAGAGACCTCTGTCCAAGAAGACACGCATTTCCTTCAGGAAGAAAAATATGCATGTGTTTTCAGAGAACTTTTCTCTCCACCAAACTCCACATGGTTGCACACTGGAAAGTAACCCGATCCCCCACTGTGCATGTTACTAATTCTCTTGACAAACAGCAAAGCCTTTCAAACAGGTGCAGAGTTATTTGTGGCCCAGATAAGTCTTGGCTCCAGGGAAGGCACGGCATGTCCCCTGCTATTTTGGTAACAATAACCATGGTACCTTGGAAAACACTCAGCCTATGCCTCCATGTAAGATCTGTTATAGGGCAAGTCTGAGGACCTTCTACAGGAAGAGCATGCCCCCAGTCAGGTGGCATTCTCAGCAAAGACATGGGACTTAACCTGCTCAAATCTGAGGCTCTGGACAAAGGGGAATGGACTACACTGTGGCAGATAACAAATGAGGTGTCATGGGTCTCATCTGGACCCTGATTTGAACAAAGACAAGGAGAGATAAGCTTGGACTAAATTTAATGGAATTATGGAATCAGTTCATTTTAAAAAGTTATAATGTTAGGATTCTATTTTATTGGGGACAGAGATACTTTACCTTATAGTGAAGTGCCTAGGCATGAAGATACAAGCTTTCAAGGATTTTATTGAAAATCATTTGGAGGGATAAGCTCATTCCCTGCGACAGAGGAGTTATTAAATGAGTCTCTCTGTATGTACACTGGTAGTTCCACAATAAAAAGTTAGCTCAGACCAGACACAGAAGCCGCATATTCCAACTTCTTTCAGTCAATTTTCTCTATAACATCCAATATGATACAAGACCTTTGAGGAGGCTCTAGTTTCCACATCTTTACAAACTGAAGAGATGACATGAAAGGGAAAAATCTTTGAGCCTCCTGAGCAAGCTGTACCACTGAGAAAGATTTATCCCCAAGGAGCACTAGATAGTCTACATACAGAAATTTTATACCAGAGAAGCTAACTGTGGTTTCTTAACACTTACAATCATTTCTATCAACTTGTTGTTATGTGCCACTGAGTCGCACAATAGCTCTGAACCCTTGTCCTATCCTGAGCCAATTGTTTCTGACACACTTGCCCACTACCGCTCTAGTCACTGTGTCAATTCATCTCATCCAGTCTTCCCCTCCTGTACCATCTCTGCACCCTTCCAAGCATGATGTCCTCCAAGGACCAGTCCCTCCTGGCAACATACCCAAAATATGTGGGAGAGCTTCAAAATCTTTGCCTCCAAAGACCAACTTGGCTTCACCCTCTCCAAAACAAACTTGATTGTTCTCTTGGCAGTCCATGTACTGTTCAAGACTATTCTCCAGCACCACAACTCCAAGGCATCAATTCTTCGTCATCTTTAGTCATCACCCCGCTCACTGACACATAGCAACTAATTTTGAAGACCATACCTTGGATCTGATCAGTCTCTAGACTGATATCTTTGCTCTTCAGCACTCTGGAGAAGTCCCTGACAGCTGATATTCCTAATGCAATTTGTCTTGTATTCCTGACTGCTGGTGCCAAGAGTGTTCATTGCGGAACTAAGCAAGCTGAAGATGTTAATAATCTCAGTGTATTCTCCATCGGATGCTGTCAATTGGTCCAAGAGTGAGAATCTGTTTTCCTGAGGTTGAGTTTTCAATCCATATTGGAAACTGCAGTCCTTTACCTTCTGTAGCAAACACTTCAGGTCCTCTTCAGTATCCACAAGCAAGCTTGTGTTATCTGCATAACGTTGGTTGTTGACAAGTCTTCAACCAATCCTGATCCCACATTCCTCCTTAAAAAGTCCAGCCTCCCGAATGATCTGTTCCATATACGACTGAAAAGGTATAGAAACAGGATGCATCCCTGACGCTCTCCTTTCCTGATTTTGAACCATGCAGTATTTCCTTGCTCTGTTCTGAGAAATGCTTCCTAGTCTAAGTATGGGTTTCACCTGAGCACGATTAAATGTTTTGGAATTCCCATTCTTCTCAAAGTTAGCCACAGTTTGCTGTGATTCACACAGTCAAATGCATTTAGATCCTGGCAAATTCAAACACATTGCCACAGATACAGAATTGACTCATAGCTGACACTCTGCCAGGTTTCCGAGGCTATAAATTGCACAGAAGGAGACTAGCATCTTTCTTTTTCCAGAGTTGCTGGTGGATTCTAGCAGTCAAATTCCCTGCAGACTATGCAAACCAGAACTCCTCAGAATGCCTCTCCCAAAACAAACCTTAAAACGGCCTCAAAAATACTAGAATGACAAAAAGCCCCTAGAATGCCTCAATTGTGCAGTGGTGAGTCAGCCAGCCCAGGGAAAGGAGATTACAGAACAAGGAACACATAGATCTAGGTAGCTGGGTAGCAGAGCTGTGAACCACTGGGTCACACTGTTAATCAACCACAGATTTCCTCCTACCAAATCCTACCTGCTCACTACAGGCAGGGGATCCAAGAGTTGAGGAAACACACAGTAAGTGTCCTAACACCCCTGTACAGTGGCCTGGACAGCCCTGCTCATGGATCTCATAGGCCTCTGGCATGCTGTTGCAAGTGACTATATTGTAAGCTCGGTGCCTCAGATACAAGGAGCCAGAGGCCTTGCACCTGGTCCAAACTCACTTTCCAGCAAAAAGACACTTGTTCCTGTATCTTCCACATACCCTCCTGACAAGGTCAGAATGCCCCTCTTCCATCCCAATGCCATAAACAGAAAGCCTAAAACACACCTACTGACTATTTTAAGAAGAGCCCAAGACTTCTTGTAAGAACAATGGATTAGCTGGTGCAGGGCTAGAGTCAGGGCAAAGCCATGTGAGGCTGGGAACTAGAGAAGAGCAATGGTTTGCTACGTGTCCCTACAGGATTTGGTAGTCGCACAGGCGATAAACCTGGGCAAAAAGGCCTTAGAGTCATGCCTTCTGAATAGCGCCTCACTCTTCAACCAACCTGCTGATAGTCTGCACAATGCAGTACACCAGAAACAGAGCTAGAACAAACCCAGGAAGAGTCACAGCGAGCAGTAATTCTGAGGCCTTCTGCTCCCTGGCTCCACCTAAGGCCACTATTGACCACAGGCTTCACTGTGCATCAGAAGTGAGTCAAACCACTCACCTGTGCAGCCTCCTCTGGTGGCATCTGGGCCCCGGCCACATGCACATTTCCAAGCCCCCGCAGGGCTGCCTGGCGCTGCTGTTCCAGGGCCAAGGTCTTCTCCTCCTCCAGAAGGCACCGCTGAGAGTGCAAAGCTGAAGCCAGCTCCTCCTGCAGGACAGCATCCACAGGGTAACCATATTTGACATTCACTCCACACACTCCTCACACCTTCACCACTCACACTGGCTCGGACGATCCACTCCTTGTGACAAACACCACTAACAATGCAGCAGACCAACAAACTCCTCACTACCACATCTGCAAGGTGATAAACATTCCCCACACTTCCTAGCAGCAAGCTTTGCCTCTTCTGTTAGGTACAGTTTTAAATGGAGTCCTGATGGTGCAATGGTTCTGTACTGGCCTGCTAACCATAAGGTCAGCAACTCGAAGCCATCACTAACAGTGAAGCAGAAAAGACCTGGTGATCCGTGTCTGTAAATACTACAGTTTAGGATGCCCTTTGGGGCAGTTATATTCTACAGCGGTTCTTAGAAGCCAGAATCAACTCCAGAATATGGCTTAATATACATACTACATAGCTTTTCTTTATATACATGGATATGGCTTTCCCTTCCAAATACTCTGTTAGATTCATTTACTTTAAGACAAATAGAACAATTATAATTTGAAGCTGCAAGTAGAGAACAAGTTTTTCTCTCTGTTTGCCTGCTAGCCTCACTGTACTGAGAGGACCACAACTCAGTCACTAGGAAATAAGCATGCAGGACTTATGGCTCCAGGAGGTGAGGTCGGTTGGTGCACCCTCTCAGCATTAGCAGCGAGTTCTCTACATTCAGCCCAAGAAAATCAACACAAGGAGAGATGCAGCACTGTGAGTTGCTCACCAGCCCTTGTCCTGGCAGCCTTAGCAAACAAACAGCACAGCTCACAGCTTCACAAGAGATGACCATCTTCTCAGCTCCAGGCTTGTGATCAGGAAAGGGAAGTGGCTCAACGATCCATTTTCTTGAAATGCCTCCCAAGATTATAGCCACAAATCCACAGATTAGAAAGTTACATAAAATAGAGTTGAAGAATAAAATAGAACCATCATCTCCACTGAAGTGAGGAAGACTGTTTGCTTACATTCTTAAACAGGACTAACAGTGACATGGGAGCTGCCTCACCTCACCATCCAGAAACAGAGAAGTATAAAAACCACTGGCCAAAACACTTATGAATTGTACAGACAACATATGAAGGAGGATCAAATTCTATTTTCTCCTGGCACTGTGGTTGATCCAAGACTCAAACTTCTTAATTTTTAATCTGGATCACCTACATCTCAGCATCTGGTAAGTCCTAATTTACCAGAAGAGTAATTTCTAAAATTGTACTAGCACTAGATCATTCTACCATTAGCCTATGATTGACTACACCCATGCCCTTTCCCTGGCCCCAACCACAACACGTCTGTCATTCAGTGGCCTGTTCCTCTAATCTCTTGCACACCTATCACTCTCATCTGGTTTCTACCACGTGCATGTGTGCCTGTACATACACATACACACACACACACAGAGGCACACACAATGATGCACATACTGTTCAGTAGAAGTTAAGACCAGAGGGACAAAGAGAGCCCAACGAAGAACCCCCAGAGCAGGTCCTCACCTGATGCGCACGCTGAAGCTCAGCTGCCATAGCTTTGAGGTTCTCAATGTGTGTAGCACTCATTTCGATTCTCAGGCTGTCCTTTGTGGCCTGAAGCTCTTCGTCATGCTTCAGTTTAAGTTTCTCTAGCTCCTGGGTTAGAACCATCTGGTGGAAAGAATCCTTTTTCCTCAGCTGCTCCTCTAAGTCCCCTTGGAGCTCTTTTAGGACTTGTCTGTGCTCATCCCGTAGGGTCTGGATCTCAGACAGGTAGGAGGATTTCAAGGAGTCCAGGTTTGACAGGTGCTTCACCTGCAGGGTGCTGAGTTCTGTGACCTGTCTGGTCTGCAATTCAGCCACATGGGTCTCTAAGAGTGTCCACTGCTCACTCTCCAGCGCAGCCTTCAGTGCACCCATCTCGGCCTGGTGCTCCGCCTGCAGCTCGGCCCTCAAGGACACAATGTGTTGTCCGTGACTGTCCTCGAGGAGCTGGAGCTCACCTGCGTGCTTCTCCCGGAGCGCATGCAGGGCAGCTTCGTGCTCTGAGGCCAATTTCTCCGTTAATTCTTTACGCTCTGTCAAAAACCTGAGATGATACCCAAAGTGAGCAGACTACAAATATGTCCTCATAGAAGCTCAAAACCTCACTCCAAACCAAGCAATCCACACTTTTTTTACTATAAAAATCATTCTGTGATTTTCAAATTTTTATTCTTTTACTCTTTGCTATAGATTACTCCAGATCTTATCACCTTCTAAGATGAGATTTGGGAGGATAAAGGGAGTTCAGAGGTCAAAGGCCGGACTCACAGGTGTCCCAAACTCAAAGGCTGCCACTGGAAGGAAATGGCATCTGCAGCAAAAACCACATACATGTTTCTACAGAAAAGACATCAACACAGATGGGACAGGGTTCTACAATGGGTTGAATGTCCAGCTGGCGTGGTCCACACGCTGATGGAAAGCAAAGCAATTTCCAGTCCTGACCAAGAAAGACAAGATTATTTAATGGAAGCCCAAAGGACCATGAGATTATTTAAAATACCTGAGAAAAAGATCTATGTATTCACAATTAAAGAGAACTGCTCTTGGAACTGGGTGGGAAAACCAGGGAACAGAGGAGAAAATAAAACAGATGTTTAATTAAAACAGCTAAAATCCGGGGAGCTCTGGTGGCCTAGTGGCAAGGAGCTGCAACTACAATCCCAGAGGCGCATGGTTCGAATCCACCAGATGCTCTGCCGGAGAAGGAGGGGCAATCTCCTCCTGTACCAGTCAGATCTGATTCGACGGTACACATACACAAAAATAATAAAATAAAATTAAAAATAAATGAATAAATAAATAAAACACCTAAAATCCTATTAGAGATGGAGAAATAGCCTAGAATTTTACAAACACTGGAAGTGGAACCATGTCCTGTACTTGGTACATGTCACACATTACTGACTTGCTTTTTAACATTTACACAATACATGAGGCTTCTGTTTCAGTGCTAACTCTGTCAGATACTATAAAAAACTATCTTAGTTGAACCATAACTCTATGCTAGTTAACCTTCATAAGTAACAGAACTACGGTTTACTAAGGTTAACCATCTCAGTTCACATTCATTTAGCTGATCCAAAAGTAGAAGCCCAAAAGCATCACTGGTGATGAGTCTCAGGTTGGGGCAGATACAAGAAGATAACAACCAGCTGGTTCATTAGCCCTAAAGACATAGGACACTTAAGGCCACCAGAGCCTTGGGCTGAGGTTTGCATTAAATGGGTAACACTGAAAGAGGCAAAGAATCAAGTCACATTTTCTATGTACTTACTATTTCAGAGAAACTCATCCACTGCCATCAAGTAGGAACTGACTCATAGCTGACCTTCCTTCCTACAAGTTTTAAGAGGCTGTAAATCACATGGGAGATTTTCTTTCTCCTGTGGACCTGCTGGTGGGATTGAACCACCACAGAAGTACCACCTTTAGGTTGGCAGCACTCCCAAGCCATGTATGCAGCTGATTGCATGGCTAACAATGAAAAGAACGTGAATCCCAGAACACTTAACTGAGCACATGCAAAACCTATACACGCCAAGCATCAGTTGTCTGAACAGAACAAGAGAACACTGCATGGTTTAAAATCAGGAAAGTTGTGCATCAGAGTTGTCTCCTTTCTCTAAACCTATTAAAACTGTATGTTAATCAAATCATCTGAGAAGCTGGAATCTATGAAGAATGTGGCGTAAGGACTAGAGAAAGAATCATCAACAACCCGCATTATGCAGATGACAAAACCTTGCTTGCAGAACGTGAAGAAAACCTCAAGTCTGTAGAAGCTCAAAGACCATAGCCTCCAATATAGATTATACCTCAACATCAAGAAAACCAAATTCCTCACCTGGATAACCAGGCAACATGATGATAGGTGGAGAAAAAGACTGAAGTTGTCAACTATCTAATTTTACTTGTATCCACAATCAATATTCAAGGCAGTAGTAGTGAAGAATCAAATGTGGGAGGTCATGAGGAAGGTACAAGCTAGGGTAAGGTTCCAATCAGTTGCTCACAGGGTCATTATGAGATACCGTCAACTTGATGGGATATAACAACAACACAGTGACCTTGCAAGACAAAGCAGTATATTGCCCCATAGGGCTTTCAAGGCTGTACATTTTCATAGACACAGACTCCCCTGGTCTTTATCCTGAGGACTAACTGATGGGTTCAAACTGCTGAATGGCCTAACTAGTGCACCACCAGAGCTTCACTACATAAGTGTATATATTTAGGAAATTAAGTTGATATGGCAGTAAAATGTTTACTTTTAAAAATAGTTTTTAAAAACACAAGACTTATCATGATGATAAACGGCAAATCCTACATAGGCTTAAGGCTCTTACTGAAATTTCAAAAATCAAGTAGGAATGTTGGTGTTGTTGTTATGTGCTGTCAAGCCAAAAACAAATTAAATCTGACCCTCCAGTGAGTTTTCAGAGGCTGTAAAATCGCACGAGAGGAGACAGTCCATCTTTCACCCACAGAGGAGCTGGTGGATTCAAACCACATGCCTATGAGTTGGCAGCACAGCTCTTTACCACTGGGCCACCAGAGTATTAAGAGGCCTTGAATCTATAAATGAAAAAGATCCCTGAAAGCATTTAAATATTCTTCTCCCTGCCAGGCTCCCGGTCAAGACTGTCTCGTAAAGATCTCTGAGGAAAGAAAAACCTGGTGCCTGAAAGTCTAGGCATCACACTGGCTTCCCTCCTTCACACGCTCACCATCCTCACTCCTTCATCGGGTCTTCCCAAGGCTCATGTGTGAACTCAGCACCCCCAAGGACACAGCTCTGAACCACCACCCACCTATTCTGGGCCAGCATCAGCTGGAGGGCACAGTCCTCCTTCAGGCGCAGCACGGTGCGCTCCCAGGACTCAGTTACAGGGCCACACTGGCTGCACCGAGGAGGCTCATCCCCAGCTGCTCCCAGCTCCAACTGCTGCAGGCGGCCTTGCTGTTCTGCCAGAGACTTAGCCAGCTCCAGGATCTGGGCTGCCTGCTCTCCCTGAAGCTGCCTCATTTCAGTCTCTCGCAGCTCAAACTTATCTATTATTGCCTGTTTCTCAGACTCAGTTTTTTCTCTCAGTTCAAGTAACATTAGTGTTAACTTCTCTTCAGCTTTTAACTTTAGGTCCTCTCGTATAGCTTTCCATTCCTCTTCTTTTCCTTTGAATTCTTGTTTCATCAACTGAATCTTCTCCTTAGATTTCTTTACTTCTTCCTGATGGTCTTGAATGAAACTACATTTTGCCTGCAGACAACATAAATACAGTTAAGAGGGTTAAAGAAAAAAGTTACCAGCAGGAATGCCTTGCCTCTACTGACGAAGACAGACAGGGAGACTCACTCCCACAGCATATAGCCATCATGCTGCAGAGCACTGAAATGATTCTTTTGTTGATATGAACAGATGAAACCTGCTGTTGTGTGTTGTGTCGAGTTGATTCCATGTCATAGTAATCCTGTACAACAGAATACAACTGCCCACAGGGTTACCTTTTGGTTAACAGCCGTGTGCTTAACCATTGTGCCACCAGGGTTCCTTACAGAGGAGTGCTAAAAAGGGCAAATTCTAAATGATTTGCTTAAGTAAAACGTGACTAAAGCCTGGTACCTAGAACTAACTATACTTTCTGGAGTTGGTAGTCCTGGAATTCACTGGCAAAAGCTATTGAACAACTGAAAACATAAACACATGAGCTAAGTCAACAAATATAAAGACTAAGGGCCTTCACTGTTGACCAAGACCAGCACCAAGAAAAAAAAATCATCAAAAAGGCTTCCATTTCAACCTAGAAAATGCTGATGATGCCAAAAAGGCAAACTTATCATCAGCTAATGAGATGAGAACAGGAAACAGTGTAAAGTCAAGTCTCCTGGTTTGTACCACTTTATATGTCAAGATTTACAAACATGAGCATGAGACTGACAAACGAAATCATTCTGAAGATACTTTACACAAAGAGGAATGATAAAGCTGAAGTTAATCACACATTGTGATTTTCAAAAAAGAAAACTATACAGAGCAATAAACTACTGAATAACAAAACACTGAAAAATAAGAAACTATACCAATTACAATAGTCAATCACAAGATAACATACATGAACAAATCAAACTAGAGATACAAAAGATCTATATAAACAAAATTACAAAACACTACTAAAAGAAACAAAGAGAGACCTCAATAAATGGGCATATATACTATGTTCATGGATGTTGTTGTTGCTTGCCTTTGAGTTGAGCATGACTCATAGCGACCTAATGAACAAAAGGCCTGAAGCCCCTTTACACTGTAGACATTTATCAAAGTTTATAGCGTTTCTGGAGGCATGTTGTTTAGGAAATGGATGCACCACTCCTGCTTCCAAATCTGTTATTGTATGTTACTGTTTTTATGTTCATGGATAGGAAGAATCAGTATCATGAAAATTACATTTCTGTTAAAAGCAATCTACAGGATCTATGCAGTCAGAATAGACGCTGATGTCATTCTTCAAAGAGATGGAAAAGCCAATTTTCAACTTTATTTGAAAAGAATTGCATTGCCAACTCCAAGGCACATGGTTCAAATCCATCAGTTACTCCAAGGAAGAAAGATGGGCAGTCTCCTCTTATGTGATTTACTGCCTCTGAAAACCTGCTGGAGGGTCAGCTATGAGTCAGTTCCAAATAAACGGTACAAAACAACAATCTATGGCATGAATCGTTTTTAAAATAGTAAAAAAAAAAATACAACCAAAAGAGAATAAAATAGATGAATGAGACTTTCTAAAAATCAAATCCTGATGTGCCTCAAAAACTTCTCCAATAGTATAAAAACAAAGCCCAGAAACAGACAAAAAATTTTTGGCAAAGACATGTCTGATATGAAACTCGTATCTAAAATTTATGGAATACTCCAGCACCCCAACAAGGAAAAGATAAATAATCCAATTATAAAATGGGCAGAAAACATAAAAATACTCTTCATCACAAAAGACATACAGATGGCATACTAACACATGAAGAAATGCTCAAGATCACTAGTGATTAGAGATGCAAATTAAAACAACGAGTTATATCATTCCAGCAACAAAACCAAGTGCAACAGGACAGCAAACAACAAGTATTAGTTAAGGATATGGACAAATTGAACTATCATATACTACTGGTAGGAATGTAAAATGGTACAACCACTATAAGGCAGTCTGGAGTTTGCCCAAAAAGTTGAAAATAGAAGTATTATTTGACCCAGCTATTCCAGTACTGGGAATATACCCTAAGGAGACTAGAACTGTGACAAAAATACATGTACACAAATCTTCATTTATTGCAGCATTATTCACAATAGTAAAGAGATGGAAGCAGCCCAATAACAAACAAACTGATAAACAGGGATACATTTACAAAAGAGTTTACATAGCACTGAAAAATAAAGAACTCATGAAACACTACATGACATCGATGAGTGTAGAGGGCATTATGAAATAACTCAGCCACCAAAGGACAAATATTGTATAAGACACTGTTGTAAAAATAGGATGGCTACAGGAGGGCAGAGAGAGCAGGAATAGAATTGTCAAGGAACAGTGTAATAGAATAGGTGAAGGGAAAGATCAACCTGAAATGCATGATGAGATATTATGTGTACTGCAATTAACAAGCATTAACTGATCAAATGGTGGGGAGAGTGGAGAGGGAAGGTGAGGAGGGGGAAAAAGGTGACTAAGGAAAGATTTTCACACAGAAACAACAATGAAGGTGTTGACAGGCAGGAAAGGGAGGGGAGTAGGAAAGGGAGCAGAGACTAGCAAGGGGATGCATAGGACAAAGTGAAAGAAATAGTACACTGCAAGGTATCAATATGGTGTTGTAAATAATGGCATTATACTATGTTTAGTCAATGTAGCAAAGGGCTTAAATCTATCCAAGATCATGAGGAAGGCATAGAGATAGGGAAAGGTTCAGATCTATTGTTCATAGGTTTGCTATGAGTTGTAATTGACTTAACAGTACTTAACAACAATTAATATTGTAAAACTAAATACACATGAGTGATTGAATAAAAATAAATATTTAAAAAATAAACTATTGAACATCAGCAATAACAAACAAAACCAAAAAGGCATGTGAGAATGATTTCAACCTTTTTGGCTTAAAAATCAAGTAATTCAAAACATGGCTTGAGATTTCTTGAAAGCTCTAATCAGATCAATCTTCCCAACGGGAACAACTATAAAGTCAGACGACAAATGGAAAATTCTTTGAAACCTCTGAAAAACATCCAAGAGTAGACTAACAGTACATGGAGATGAAATGTAGAGTTTTAATTAAGCCAAGATAACTGCAAAAATTAAACATACTCTCTGGCAAAACCTAACAGAATCCAGAGTTTCTAGAAAGCATCATTTACAATAATTAGGATAGAACATTTGACACACTCTACACATACACGACTAAACTGGGGGTATGCAGGGTAGTTTGAGCATAAAGCTTAATACCTCACATGTGCCTTGTTGTAGTTGGGCCCCAACGCATGGTCCAGCACAAGGCTTCACTCTAACTTATATAACCAGTAAACTCACCAAAAGTCATGAAAACGAGGAGGGCCTCCAGTAACTCTCTGTAAGGACTAGTACTTACTTTCTCTGCGTCCTCTCTCAGATGGATTTCATGCTGCAACTTCTCGTGCAAATTTCTATTTTCTATTTTTAAGAGCTCCATTTCTTCCTTAAGTTCCATTTGAAGAAGTGAGAGTTTAACCTTGTATTCATTTTCCAAGCCCAAGACTCTTGCTGCCACCTCTGTTTCCACCTCTGAGGCCACGTCCCGTGCACGCTGGAGACGCATCTGCATGAGCTCTGTGAAGAGACAGGGAGAGCAAGCACCATGAACTGGACACCACTGAGCATCCTAGCAATGGTAGCACTGTTGTCGTTGGTGTGTGCTGTCAAGTAAATTCTGATTCATAACGACCCCACAGAACAAAACTACCTCACAGGATTTCCTAGGCTGTAACCTTTACATGGCGGCCTAGCAGTAAGAAGCTGTGCTGCAATAAACCGTGTAGTTTTAATCTAACAGCTGCTCCACAGGAGAACAGGCAATCTTCTCCTGTGAACTTACTTTACTGCCTCTGAAAACTCACCAGAGGGTCAGCTATGGATCAGTTCTGACTCAATGGCACACAACAACAATCTTTACAGGAGCAGACAGCCATGTCTTTCTCCCATGTAGTGGCTTGCAGGGTTGAATCAACCTTTTGATTAGCAATTAAGCACTTAACCATTGTATCACTAAGATCTCGTAAAGATAGCCTTATTGTGTATCATCAAGTCAGAATGGACTCATAGCTGACCCTCCAGTGGGTTTTCAGAATCTGTAAATTGCATAGGAGGAGAAAGTCAATCTTTCTCCCATGGAGCAGCTAGTGGTTTTAAACCTTGTGCCTCTGAATTGGCAGTGCAACTCCTTGCCACCAAGCTACCAGATGATGACCCTTTACCAGTAGCTTTAAATAGTCTCACTGATGAATAGTCTAATCAGTGGTTAGGGCCCCCTTCCTCTCCACAAAATACTCCTTACATGCCTGGTGCTAGAAAAGGAAGCCAGGGGGTTGAGGGAACAGGGCTGTAGACTGAGGACACAGGGCAAGGGGACCAGGGAAGCTGGGAGGTCAAGAGGACACACCTTGGACATGTTCTCCTGAGAGTGCAGCCCGGAGCCGTTCAAGTTCCAGGCACTGCTCCCTCTTCCACACTTGGGCCTCGGCAAGATGCTTGTCTGTTAGATTCATTTTGACTTTCAGCACCTCCTCCTCATGTTGAATTTCAAGAGAGGACTTCAACAATTCCATCTCATGCCTGTGCTTTTCTTCCAGTTGTGCCTGCAGATGCACCAGGCTCTCCTGTGGAAGCACAGAACAATGCACTCAGCCACCTCTCCCCGGGGTCAGACAGCAATGGCGGGGGCTACAACTCTCCCCTCTTGCTTTCCAGTGACCCTGAGCTGTGCCCATATGATGGGAAAAATGCATGTAGAACAGATTTTTAAATGTAAGATTAATTAGTAAAACTCAACATTTTCTCAACAGTTTAAAAAAATAAAAGGATCATCACCTCATGTTGTTCAATCTGAAGCTTAAGTTGGGCAAGGTGTTCCTTCCTTTCCCTCTCAGCTGTCTCTTCTAAAAACGAACTGGAGGAACTAAGAGAAAGCATGAGTTAAAAGCTTCATATAAACCACTTTTCCATTCTGAACTCTGCTCCACATTACAGATATGCCATTATCAAAGAAAATGTCAAAGAGTCCATATGTCGACAGCCTGCCGTCAGTGAGAAGACTGGTCGGGCTAAGTTAGTTGCTCTTGTAGACAATGACCTGGGCAGATTCTGACTACATCCCACAAAGTGTCCTGACAGAGAAGACAACACCCCCACAGCAACATTATGGATCCTGAAACCTGTGCCCATAGGTTCGACAAAGTGAAAAAAACAAACCCAGCAAGCTCAGTCACATGAGCCAGAAATTCAGATCTTGCTAATCTTCATATTTCCTTCAAGTCTCAACAACAAAAAAAATCCAAATTATTTCAACATAAACAAAGAACCAAAGACTGTTAATCTTTCTGGCATGAGAGCTGAATTTAAAGTTTGTATATTAAAAGATGAAAAATCTTTTTATTTACCTGATTTCTGCATATTCCAGAAAAGAATCTTCCTTCACCTCTTGCAGCCGTTGCTGTAACAGAGTTAGGTCCTCTTGGTAGTTTTTTTCAGCATCCCTTAATTTCTTTTCAAAATAAATCCTCAACTGCTCCAGATCAGTCTCATGTTCAATTTTTTCTCTTTGTTGTTGTTGTTCAAAGTCTTTCTTTAACTGCTCTAATTCTGCCACATGAGATGCTGGGGTCAGGAACTGCTCGTGTAGTTCTTTAATGAGATGAAAGTATATATATCTTCATCATAAAATAAAGACTTGTGAAAAATCAGACGTTGGTTATTTCAAGCGCTAAGGAGGCCTGACAATGCTCAGCCAAGTGCAAAGCTGCTAAATCAAAGGATGCCAGGTCAAGCGCGCTCATCCAGTGGCCTCCCAGAGACCTGGAAATCTGCTCTCATAAAAATTACAGCTGAGAAAATCCTATGGAGCAGTTCTACTGTTAGACAGGTACTGTATGAACTGGAGTTTAATTCATTGACAGTCAGCAAGCACAGTTCCAAAATCAGCCTCCCGGTTCCATACCCAAATTCTAGGACTTGTGAGTGCCCCTCATGACTTAGCTATGTGATACAACTGGTGTGTCACACGGCCCACAGCAGAAGGGTCTTAAAATGAAAGAGTAATAGGTGGGCTCAACAAACACATACCATGGCAAAGACATGCCACTTTATAAGACAGTCTCATTCCCAAGCCCTGTCTCATGACTTTGTGCTTTGGTCCAAAGACTACTGCCCAGAAAGTGTAATAGTTAAGTTTAGAGGCTCTAAAAGTTCTGCCTGAAGCTCCTTGTCTCAATCAAGGGACCCAGACTATACGTCACCATGCCTAGACTAAAGTGATCTATGCTGCTTCTCTCTGAACCACCTGCAACTCATCAGATCCTGAGGCTGGACAGAAACCACTATGATGGGGAGGAGGGCAAGTCTGAATTTCTCCAAAGAAATCCGCTACTAGCAGGGGTGGAGAAGGTCTACAATTGTAAAATGTTAATTTCTTGATTCAACAATTAGAAAATCCTAGCCACAGCCCTTGAGACCACATTGTCAGAATGGAGCTCCTCACCTCTCTCTTCTTGTCTGTCAGCTCTTACAGAATTGAGCTGGGACCAGAGGTGCTTGATCTCCTCTTGTGACTGTGCCTTCAACTCTTCATATGATGCTTGAAGATGTTCTAACTGTTAAAACATAAAGTGTGACTGTCAAGTTTCATTACATGAAATGCCCAGGAGGCAATGACATATACTGCTTGTGCATGTCTCCTCAGTGCCTGCATGGAAGACATGAAAATGACAAATGTGGAATAAAAGCCCAGACCCTAAACATACAGCAAAACATCAAAAGCAACAAGAATGACTCAAGAACCATGAATTTGTAGGGAGCTCTGGTGGCTTAGTGGCAAGAAGCTGCACTGCAATCCCAGAGGTATGCAGTCCAAATCCACCAGATGCTCTGCTGGAGGAGGGGCAATCTCCTCCTGTACCAGTCAGATTCAATTTGATGGTACACACACACACAAAAATAATAAACTAAGTAAAAAAAAAAAATCATGGATTTGAGACAGAAATTCCAAGACACAGTTGCAAGGGGAGGCTAGAGTTCATGGTCCCTCATATCCAACTATTCCAAGAGGCAAAATTATTTACATAATTCTTGATTTGTTTATTTATAGTAAGACTTCCACACAAGACAGTCTAGAAAACATGACCAGTTAAGCCACCCATTGAGATTCTT